AAAAAAACAAAACATTATCACCTCTTTCTTCTGGTGATAAGTATCAGTATTCCCAGATCACATGTTAAACGGAACCATTCTGCAGCTCCGTCTTTCCTATTTTGTCGCACCTCTCTGTTGGAGCCTTCATGCAAAGTGGCCTACTTTTGCTCTGCCTGCAAAGCAATGCCTATAATTTGAACCGTGCAAATTCTGCCACGGAGAGAACCCCTAGCAACCCTGTAACCCAAATGCAGCTGCATGTTGTCCGCCTCGGAGGATGAATTATTCAACATCTGTCTGAGGCGTGCATAAGTAAACAGGTACAGAGTCTTCTGATGCTTTCTTTAAGAGGAGACACTAAAGACTATAAGGACAGGGCATAGATACTTTCCCTTTCCTGCGGAAGTGGGTTTAGATGTTTAGGATGGACAGATTAACCCTCCTGCTGCCCTGAGGTCGGAATTGTGGATCATTTTGATCCAAGGGCAGCAGGAAGTTTCAGCAAACGGACCGGTTTTGGTGAGCTTGAGTCTAAATGCTTTTCTTAAAAATAACTCATTTTTAAAGTCAAAAATGGGTAAAAAAAAAAAAAAAACCAAATTAACAAAATCTACACATTTTTTCTTATATCAGCGGTCTGTCCTTTAAACATTTGTCAGCTAAATTTACAAACGGCTGCCAACAACTACACGTTTACCTACAGAAACAAGGTAACTGAAAATAGGTCAACAAGTCTGAATACTTGTACGTTTGTTGGGTCAAGTGTGCAGATAAAACTTACTGGTCTAGAGGTTTTACCACAGCTGTGCATGTTTGAGTACAGAGCTTTATGGTGCTCCATCGTCCTGGCTGAACCATGATTTTATTACTGATAGTTTTACTCAATCGTTTCCTTTTAAGTTTGCATTCAGCAGCAGATTATAGTTCCTTATATTTCCATCTAAACATCTAAGATTTTACGCTTGTCTGATTCCGCCATATTTGTTTTTCTACACAGACCTAATGTAGGTCAATCTCATGGCTCAAGCTTCCGTGTTTTTTTTATTTTATTTTTGCAAATTCAGCAGAGTACTTTGTTTATGTGAAGAGTGGATCCACATTTCAGAATTTCAAATCAATATAGCTAAATAAATACTTGAGTAAACTTATAGTTTATAATGTGTACTTTTTAAGGGAATTTCTGTCATCTGACATGATAGGGCAGAGTAGGAAAATAGGACAGAAGTCTTCCTCCAGGCTAGGCTAATCAGGCCCCCTTTTATTTTGTTTGTCAGGTTTATAAATAACTATCTCACAAATGACACATGGATATAAAAGACTGCTGCTTCATAAACTTAGTTTTACATGACTTTGTTTGGTTCAGGGGTGGGCAATTCTGGTCCTCGAGGGTAGGCTCTTTGATAAATGCCCTGCCCAACCCCACCAGTGCATGGGTCAGGTTTTTTTTTTTTTTTGTGTTTTTGTTTTCTTTGCTTGTTTTAATGCTTAACCCCCCCATTATCAAATCTATCTTAACGTTTTAAGTAGTTTGTTTTCTGCTTTGGTTTGAAAAAATGTTGCGAAATTGTGACGCGCACTATGTCTACGGAGCTCCGCAAAATTTTTATGATATAACTGATTCAGTGGACCACTTACTTCCTAATTTTCAGCCTTCAAAGACCTCTGAATCCTTAATGAATGGTCTGATTTTAAAAAAAATAAACAGTTTTGGAATCTGTACATAGAGCCTTACAAGTACAAAAAGGAAAACATGCTCTAAAATAAGCTTGGAAATTTTATCAAAGTCCATATGGAAGGTCGCTATCCTGCATGTTTTACTGGTTTCCCTTCTCCAACACACCTGATAGCTCAATAGATTCTTGGTAATAGCCCATAAATTCAAATCAGGTGTGTTGAAGACGATGAACAAGTAAGACAAAAGAACAGAGGCCCTCAAGGACCAGGATTGTCCACCTCTTGTCTAGTCAGTGCCCGTGTTACTTTGCAAATGTCAATTACTCCCAAGGCTGCTGAATGTATCAATACATAAATGGTATTAAACAAGACTGTCAGGCAAAAATCTTCTTGAGAAAAAGTTTTGAACACTGATAACAAAAGATACAAAGGCGGTTCTATTAGTTTCATGTAGAGGAAATCCTTCCTCTTTACTCCTCACTTTGATGAACAATAAGGTGCTATTTGACAAAGCATCACTTTAAAATATCCCCCTCCTTTAAGAGTGTTACAGATTATATTTTATAGCTGCTTGAACCTGAACACACTACAGTTTAGGAGCATAAATCAGGCTCAGTCAGTTTCTTTCACTGGAAGTCTCAGACTCTGGCTGTTTGCGGGGAGGACTGAACAGGTCTCAGATCAAACACAGAACTTCAACCACTTGTTCAGCCTTCGCATTTTCCAGCAGGTTCAAATTTGTGTGGCCTTGGTGTTTGCCGGCATTCCCCTGATTAGAGGCCGCTGCGCATTTGTAAATAAATGATGCCAGATGTGGTTGAAGCACTGCCTCATGCTTTCATTCAGTCGTGTGCATGGAGGTCGTGGATGAAATCAGGAAAACAAAGGCCTGATTTAAGATGTTTTTGTTAAGTCGTTCCCAGAGAAAACTCAGCTTTCCATAGTTTGTGGAAAAGAAAAATCTGGACCATCTTGTTTTGAGCTACCTATAAAAATTAAAATGCTTAGCATCTCAAAGCATCAAGCTTTTGTACGGACTCCTTCCTGCTCTCAATTACAATCAGAACAGGAACAAAAGCAAAGACTTTCAACACCTAAAGTTGTCCTTTCAAGCTGAAATCTAAATCCACCCTTTTACTATCTTGAAGGTATGAACTGCTTTCCTAATGGCACAAAAAACATCGGCCATAAAGAGAACTCCCGTCCATCTTTGAAGCATGGATTTTACTCCACAAGCTGTGGCCATTATCAGAAATGCAGACATCGAAACTTCCTCTTGTTTCGTCCTTCGCCTAAAATACAGAAGCTCTGAAGCTAATCCTCCCCGCCGTTCTTTAAAGATCTCCATGAAGACCGTGTAATGCCGGAAAGCTCTTGAGATCAAGCCACTAACTGCTGACATTGAGTGTGTGGCAGGTAAAGTCACCTCTGATTCCAAAGCATCGAGCTCTTTCACAGACCAACACTGCCCCTTATTGGTCAAAGACGTGTACAACACCAAGGTTGTCACATCTCTCATATTTCCAAGAACCGCCTATACAGACAGGTCCTTCTCAAAAAAGTAGCATATTGTGATAAAGTTCAATATTTTCTGTAATGTACACACAAAAATTTCATATATTTTAGATTCATTGCACACCAACTGAAGTAGTTCAAGCCTTTTATTGTTCTAATGATTTTGGCAAAAAAGTAAAGAAAAACCAAAAATCCCTATCTCCAAAAATTAGCATATCATGAAAAGGTTCTCTAAATGACTTATTAACCTAATCATCTGAATCAACAAATTAACTCTAAACACCTGAAAAAGATTCCTGAGGCTTTTAAAAACTCCCAGTCTGGTTCATTATTCAAAACCACAATCATGGGTCAGACTGCTGACCTGACTGCTGTCCAGAAGGCCATCATTGACACCCTCAAGCAAGAGGGTAAGACACAGAAAGACATTTCTGAACGAATACGCTGTTCCCAGAGTGCTGTATCAAAACACCTCTGTGGGAAGTCTGTGGGAAGGAAAAGATGTGGCAAAAAACACTGCGCAATGCGAAGAGGTGACCGTCACCCTGAGGAAGATTGTGGAGAAGGGCCGATTCCAGACCTTGGTGGACCTGCAGAAGCAGTGGACTGAGTCTGGAG